GACGGGCGTCTAACAGGGCAAGTGAGGGCGAGCAGGGTAGGCTCCTGGAGGAGGTGGCAGCTGGATTGAGTGCAAACCTTCCTCAAATTACAATGCAGTTGCATCTCAATAAATCCATCATTAGTTGAAAATATCGTAAATTGATACATATTTTTAATGCATTAAATATCATAAATGCATTTAATACACTTAGCCTACCAGACATCATAGCTTAGCTTTGCTCACATTAACCATGCTCTGAATACCTACATGAGCCTATAGTTGAACAAAACCATTTAACCGAAGTGTTGGCTATCTCATGAAATTTATTGGATACAGTACTGAAAGTGAAAAATAGAATGGTTATATAGGAGCAAAATGGTTCTAAGTTGTATGGATCGTAGCCCTTGTGATGGTGCGGCTGTCTGGGAGTTGTGGCTTGCTGCCTGCCACTGCCCAGTGACATGAAAGAGGATCCTACCAGATGGTGCCAGCTGAAGAAAAGATCAAAATTCAAAGAATGGTTTTTACTGAATGCATATCACTTTTGCATCACCATAAAGTCAAAAAATTGTTAAGTCAGTCAGGGATATCTATATTAATGGTTGAATTGACATATGTATGATCTGAAATTGAATTAAACAAATACATATGGTAAGCATTAGAAACTTCAGGGCATTCAATGTTGGTGAAACATCACGTGTGAGGTGAAATAATCGCACTGTGAACATAGGCAGTTGGGTGGGCAGCCACTTAGAGAGACTTATTGCTCTGTTAAGAACAATTAACATCTAATGAGTGCTCACTCTGTGCCAGATGCTACCCTAAGCATTTTATTAATCTCATTTAATCCTTCTGCTGCCCTATTCTATGAGGTAAGTACTATTCATCACCCCCCCACTTCACAGACGAGGAAACTGAGGCGTAGTTTGGTTAAATAGTGTCCAAGTTCTCACAGCAAGTGGAGTCAGGGTGTGAGCAGAGGCAGTCTGCCTTTAGACTCCATGCTCTTATCTACTTGCACCATGCCTCAGTGGCAGTGGAGGTTTTAACTAGAGATGCATTTTTCAGCAGGGAAGCAAAATAATTGAATTACATCCCAATACTCTGGATACAAATGAAACATTTTAATAACTCCATAGACTGAAAATTAGTTTAAAATGAGCTAAAACAGGTAGAGCAGTCAGTGCCCAAGGAGCTTGCTCTCTTCAAACAGAATGCACTGTGAACTGAGAACCAACTCTCCTAAATGAGATTAGTCAGCAGGGAAAATCTGCCCAACCTGGCCCGGAAATGGCTTCCCAACGTGTTACTTACTGATAGGGCTGCTTTGATCTCAGCTAAATGCTAAGGGTGTCTCCCTATTTACCGATTTAGAATGTAGCCCTTCCTGGCTGACCATGATGAACTTTTCTAACCCAGGAAAGAGCAGTGGGTCAACCCTGAGAAGGTGCTGGGTTCTAAAATGATGCTTTTTGTGCGAGTTAATGAATATTTGATCAATATTCATTAGGAAGAGAGGAGAGTAAAGAATTTGTCTATTTCTCCACAATAGTCTAGGGCAGAGGATGCCTAGATCATTTATTTATCCATTCGTTCATCGAGCAAATATTTATTAACTTCCTAATTGCTTGAAGCACTGTGATGATTGGTGCGAAGGATATGGTGGTAAGCAAAACCAGACAAATTCCTCAAAGAGTTTGCAGTCTAGTGAGGGTAAAGGACACAAGTCAAAGAATTACTAACAAATGTGCAATTGTAACTATAGCGAATGCTTTGAAGGAGTAGGCAGTCAAGAGAGGAAATCCCCTTCTCTAGGAGGCAGGAAAGTCTTCCCAGAGGCAGTGAAGATTGAGTAAAGGTCTGAAAGGGAAAAGAGATAATAGTGGGAGCATCACTGATTGGGGAACCTCCAGTGAAAAGACCCTGAGGCAGGAAGAATGGTGCCTGGTCAAGGAACCAAAGGTGTCAAATGTGGCTGGTTTGAGACTAGGCTGGGGAGGTCAGTTTAGCCCTGCTAAGCCTGAGAGAACAAATTGGGGATTTGTTATTTTATGACAAGAACAAAGGTGGGTCAATAAAATGTTTTCAGTGTTTCTGTTGGGGAATGTGTGACATGATTAGATCTGCATTATTCCAAAAATATCTCTATTGAAAGAAAATTGCATTGGAAGGAGGCAAGAGTTTACTTGGTTCTTCTTTTCCTGCATCTAAAGAACATTTGTTGTGTGTTTACTGACACTGTTCAATAGAAATGTAACATAAGCCACATTTATCATTTTGAATTTTCTAAAAGTCGCAGTAAAGAAAGTAAAAAACAGTAATAGCAGGATTAATTTTAATATATTTTATTTTGCCCAACGTATCTATAATATTACCATCTCAGCGTGTAGTAATATAAAAAAGTACTAGTGAAGTATTTCACATTTTTTTCATAGTCTTTGAAATCTGCTGTGTATTTCACACATTTCAATTCAGAAACAAAATTTTCACTGGAAATACATCTGCATTTAGATTTCATAAAATTTACAGTTGAAAAAATAGGTTTGCACAGCCAAGTTGTTCCAAATATACTTAAAAGTTTTCCAATAACCAAATTAGCTACCAGTTTTTAAATTAAAAAATAAGTAAAATTAAAAATTCAGTTCCTCAATCACAGTAGCCACATTTTAAGCACTCCCCAGCCATATGTGGCTAGTGCTACATATTGGATAGAGCAGAAGGAACTTTTCCATCACTGCAGAAAGTTGTATTGGAAAACACAGATGTACCTGCTGGTGAGGCCTTGGGCATTCATCAGCATCCTTTTGGAAGATTTAATCTTTCAAAGGTATTGTTCATATTCATCTATATAACAGCCCCACTATCTCGTTTTACTAAGGCTGAACACATTCAGCAGGCTTTGGTAGTGTTATGGTTTCTCAGGAAGATTTTCCTACTGGGAGGAAAATGAGCTAACCTGCTGAAATAAATATCCAGTCTGCTAGGCTGTTACAGCTGCTACTTTTCTGCTTGAATCCTTGCCCTAGGATTCTCAGAGTAAGCTGTCAACATCAAAGTACTAGCACCTTTGTGAGGCCTTATGCAAACTACAGCTCCTCACACTTTGCGCCTGGCAGCACCTATCTGCAAAGAGCAAACATTGATTTTCAAGTCTAATAATGACAATTACAAAATTCAACAAGCCACGGAGCCAATGACCCTCTCTGCCTGCTCTTCATCCTCAGGGGTCCCCAGTCACAGTGGTAGCTCCCACCAGAAGAGAGGGACCTGGAAGCAGATGTGTACAATTGAGGTGTCTGGCCCAGCAGGCCCAGGCACGAGGCCTCAAGCTGCCAGTCTGCCAGGTGTCACCCCTCTTTACATAATTCCCCCAGCTCCTTCTCTTCTTTACTCCCCATTTGGCTCAAAACTGAGCAGGGAGATTTCTTTCTCTGTCACTCTAAGGATTTTTGCAAATTTCGATGGAAACTAATTTTGCTCTTGCTCTCAACTGCGGGCAATGCATAACTTTCACAAACCCCATTATCTTCTGCCATGACTTCTTCCCACCCAACCCCATCTGATACTTTAAACTCAACAGATGTGAAAGAGCCCAATTCTATTCACTTTTCTATCAGAAATGTGAGCTCCGGGATCCATGGGTGGCGCAGCGGTTTAGCGCCTGCCTTTGGCCCAGGGCGCGATCCTGGAGACCCGGGATCGAATCCCACGTCGGGCTCCCGGTGCATGGAGCCTGCTTCTCCCTCTGCCTGTGTCTCTGCCTCTCTCTCTCTCTCTGTGTGTGTGTGACTATCATAAATTTAAAAAAAAAAAAAGTAAGGAGCCGGGAGTTGTGTTTGTCTGCTTTGGGGATCAAGCACATTACCATGCTCACTGAGCTAAATCCAGTAACTGAACTGGGACTAACTCGTTCTGTGTCCCGGAGCGTGATTTGCCTTTCTAGAAACCAATTTTGCCCATTATGGAATAGGAGAACTGCATTCCCTGAGGGAGGACAGCCTGTCTTCCCATTGTGCTGAATCTTTCTCTTGCCAAAAGTCAGGGGTGGAGCACTGCGGAGGGCAGCAGGTGGCAGAACTGATGGGCACGGCCGACTGAACTCGTAGATTATGAGCCCTAGAGGAGACTAGGCAGGCGTTTGCTCCAGATTGCTGCCCTCTGGCTTGATTTAAGTCAAGCCTGGGTCATGCTTAGCCACCTTAGGGGCTATATTGCTAAAACGAAGAGGCACAAGGAATGTTTGACAGAGCCTAACCTTTCTTATTTATTCAGAGAGAGAGAGAGAGAGAGAGAGAGGGGCGGAGGCACAGGCAGAGGGAGAAGCAGGCTCCACGCAGGGAGCCAACATGGGGCTCGATCCCGGGTCTCCAGGATCACACCCGGACTGCAGGCGGCGCCAAACCGCGGCGCCACCGGGGCTGCCCGGGGCTGCCCACGCTTAACCTCTCTCTTTTAGACCAAGCATAATCTCACCAGAGACTTAATAAAAGGATACAGTAGCAAAACATCCTAGAAAAGCAGGGTCGCATACCAGTTAACCCCAGATTAGGGCTGCGTTTAGCTCCCGACTGCCTCTTACCGGATGTGTGATGTTAAATAAGTTCTTTCACCTCTCTGAGCCTCGGTTTCCTGACCTGTAAGGTAAGGCGAATAATATTTACCCTATAGAATGGATATAAGACTTAAACTGGAGAATCTATGTTAAGTGCTCGCCATTTAGTAAGCGCTCAGTTGGAGTTAGCCATTCTTACACAGAAAGCAACAAACCCCTATGTAACTTACATACAACGGAGGAGAATCTTACGCAAAAAGCAACAAACCCCTATGTAACTTACATACAACGGATGACAAGCCGCGTAGAGAACTTTAAGGAATTTTTTTCAACATACGAAGATAACGTTTGGTCCCTGCTTCCAAGGAGCTCACATTTCTTTTGTTTTTTTTTTTTTAATTTTTTATTTATTTATAATAGTCACACACAGAGAGAGAGAGAGAGAGGCAGAGACAGAAGCAGGCTCCATGCACCGGGAGCCCGACGTGGGATCCGATCCCGGGTCTCCAGGATCGCGCCCTGGGCCAAAGGCAGGCGCCAAACCGCTGCGCCTCCCAGGGACCCCCTCTCGGCTCCTTATACGGGAACACAGAGCCCGAGGTCTGAGCGCTCCGAAGAGCCCAGAGACAGCCCCAGAAGAGGACCACCCACCGGAGGGCAGGAGCTCCCCGCCGGAGTCCCGCCTCTGCTCCCGCCCCCTCGGACCCGCCTCCGTTCCACCTCGCTTCCAGGTTCCAGCCCCGCCCCTCGGAGGCCGCAGCCAATCGGAGGGCCGCGAGCCCGCCCCCGCGCGTGCCGCGCCCCCTTCCCGCCGGCCACGCCCCCTTCCCGCCGGCAGTGACGTGCCCCGCCCCGCAGCCGCGGGATTCAAACTCCCGGAAGCGGAAGCGGAAGCGGCAGCGGCAGCGGCAGCGGGAGGACCCGGCTTCGCCTCAGGTGCTGGCCATTAAAGCGTCACTGTGTACGTCCGCAGCCCGGTCTCTGCCCGCCCAGGTATGTGTCCCCCTTCCCGGGCCTCACTTCTTGCCCGGCACCGGGTTGGGAGTGTCACCGCCGTGGGTGTGTCCATCCTTCCCTTCAGCTTTGCGGTGCGTAGGTGCGTAGGTGCCTATCATCCTCCCCCCCACCCCCCTTTTTGTTTCTCGTGGCGCGGAGAGGCCACGTGACTTGGCCAGGGTCTGCGGGGAGGACCGCGTGCGGGGTCGCAAGCACCTTCGTGCCTGTTCCACAAACATCTTCATTTCACAAGTGAGGAAGTGCCTTCTTTTGCGGATTTTCTCTGCCCACGTAGCTCTTACGTGAGGTGCGCCACCTCGTACATTACAGGTTCTAATATATTTTGAGTGCATGCATGGTCTTGTGTTCCTTTAACTTCCTCAGTTACCACCATTACTTTATCTTGGGATCCATAAGGTGGAAAATGGTTTTTTTAAATTTTTATTTATTTATGATAGAGAGAGAGAGAGAGGCAGAGACACAGGCAGAGGGAGAAGCAGGCTCCACGCACCGGGAGCCCGACGTGGGATCCGATCCCGGGTCTCCAGGATCGCGCCCTGGGCCAAAGGCAGGCGCCAAACCGCTGCGCCACCCAGGGATCCCGGAAAATGGTTTTTGATCTCTCTAATTAAAGTTACTTTCATTATATGCACAGTATGTTTCACTATATGTGTTGCCCCTGGAGTTGATACTATACACTTCTTCGAAACTGTTACCTAATATTCTTAGCAGATTCTGAGCTTCTCCTTCCTTAATTTGGCCTCTTATCCTTGATTCTTGAATATTGTGTCTCTTTTTCCTAAATATCCTGTCTTGGATTCTTCTTGCTTCTGCTTACTCTAGTCTCTCAGGTAGCTGCCTGTTTACATAGATTTGAACAGGACATATCACTATGTTAGTTAATGACATTTCAGTGCCTATGTTCTCAGAATTATATCATTTACCGCAAGCATTTTATTCCTGGGTAAGATATGTCTGTGATCTCTTTCATTCAGCCTTCATTTAATGGTTTAAGTATTGATCCCTTTTTTTTTAAGTTTTTTTTTTTTTTATTTACGATAGTCATACAGAGAGAGAGGGGGGCAGAGACACAGGCAGAGGGAGAAGCAGGCTCCATGCACCGGGAGCCCGATATGGGATTCGATCCTGGGTCTCCAGGATCGTGCCCTGCGCCAAAGGCAGGCGCCAAACCGCTCTGCCACCCAGGGATCCCCTGATCCCTTTTTTAAAATGAAACTTTCTCATTGAAGCAGGACATACATACAGAATCCTCCCCAAAACATAAGCATCCAAGTTGACATATTTTTGGATTTTTTTATTTTAATACCAGTATGATTAACATTGTTATATTAGTTTCAGGTGTACAATATGGTGATTCACTAATTCTGTGCATTACTGTGTATGTCAAGATAAGTTGACATGTTTTTAAAAGGTGAATTCTCCCCATGTATCTACCACACAGATTAAAAAATAGATATTGATACCACCAAGCCAGAAGCCTTTCCCAGTCTCTTTCTCATACCCCACTGGTTTGGCTGTGTCACTTCTATTGAGATAGAAACTTCTATTTAGCAAAAGGTTACAAGCCTGAGATTTGTCCTTTTAATTTTTTTTTATGATAGTCACACAGAGAGAGAGAGAGAGGCAGGGACACAGGCAGAGGGAGAAGCAGGCTCCATGCTTCAGGAGCCCGACGTGGGATTCGATCCCGGATCTCCAGGATCGCGCCCTGGGCCAAAGGCAGGCGCCAAACCGCTGCGCCACCCAGGGATCCCGAGATTTGTCCTTTTAAACTTAGACTCATAAAATATAATTGTATTTTCATTTTTACAGATAGTTTCAGAAATGTCTTCCAGAAGTCCCAAAGATTTCATTAAAAGTAAATGGGGATCAAAGCCTAGTAACTCCAAATCAGAAACTGCATTAGAAAAATTGAAGGGAGAAATTTCAGCCTTAAAAACATCAGTGGATGAAATTACAAGTGGAAAAGGAAAGTTGACTGATAAAGACAGACACAGACTTTTGGAGGTGAGTGGCCTTATAAATGTTTTTCAATTGTAATAAACTTTGCTGTAGGAGATAAAGTATTTTCCCAATAATGATATAATTTAGTGTTTCTGTTCATTCACTAAATGGAAAAAGTCAAATCTGATAATTTCAAAGTGTTCAACAGAGTTCAGATTTTAACATGAGTGTTTAAAAATCCATTTTATCATGTATATTGGCTGCTTTCCAAGTAATCTTTGTTTTCAGATTTTTTGAGGTAAAACCATTACATGTATTGGCATTTTGCATTCTGTTAAACTATATTTCAGGTTCTCTAATTTACAGTTTGTTATGGCATAATCAATAAAGCAGCTAGGAACATATTAGAACTGGGAGATTTTAAATTTTTAATCATTTAATTTTATTTTGCAACAGTTCTCTTATTATTCATAGTTAGAAAATAAATGACCTGTATTAAACAGTATCATTGGATTTCTTTAAATTTTATTTTATAGGCACATCATAAAACCAAATGATTTATTATTCTTTTAACAACACATACTTATTCAAGCATTGAGAAATGATCTATCACTAATTCTTAGACATAAAGATTATTTTGCAGTCTGGTGATGGAATCTAATAGCTTCCCTGAGAGATCTCTTTCCAGTTCTTTCCATCTTTGACAAGCACTGGTTGTCAAAACTTTGTTCCTTTATAATCAATTGAAATTAAACCTCCTGTAACTTCTCCCCATTTGTTCTAATTGTATGTATTACAGGCACAGAACAAGTCATTTTTTATCCATATGAAAACTTCTCAGATATTTGATGGAATCTTCCTTCCTTTTACTTTTCTGTAGACCAACCCCATACTCTTCAGCTTTTCTAGCATCTTATAATCCTGGTTACTTTCCTGAGCACCTTGTGATGCTTGTGATGTTTTCACATTCCTTGAACAATATTGGTGTGTGTGCTGTGCACTGTGGCAAACATGAGTTGAAATGGCACTGTTATTTCCACTAATCTGGATGCTGTACCCTCCAAAAGCCTAAAATTATATGGGCTTTTTTTTTTAACTGTATCATACTACTGCCTTATCTTAGGCTTGAGGCAACTAAAGTCCCCACATCATTTTCACAGGATCAACTAACTCAGTTTCCCCATTTTATATTTATTTGAACAACTGCTTCTCCCCTCCACCTCCATGCAACTTTGTAGTTTTATGGTGGTTTTGCCGTCTTAGCATGTAAAGTCAGTCTCTTAACTTTTTTGGGCTCCCCAGAGTTGCTCTCTGCCTTATGTCAGCAGCAGTTTAACAAGCATGCCTTCTTTATCTTTTAAATCCTTGAAAATGTGAACACTCCTTTGAAGATCATCTTTTAGAGTTGGTACCAAATCATTTATTAACAAAAAACAAGTTAACGAATGCATTTTTATCCAGTTGTAGCATTCTGTAATTTTTAAGTTCTGTTGCTTCGAGTTCATTAATGAGCGTACATCTATCTCTTGTATGGCTTACTTTTAGCCTTTCAGATGATTAGAACTGGTATTACAGAAGGATGATTATCAGATACTGATGTGAGAGCCAGCTTTTCTTTAGCTTTCTCTTACCATTCTTGACAGAGTTGGTTTCTCTTTTCTGTGTATGTGTCCCATTCATTTTATATATATCTTAAGTACGGCACTTAGTGTATCGCAGTAATTTATCAGTTTACCTCTCTCTGAGCTCTCTGAGCATAGGACCTCGGCTTCATTTTCTTTTTGGCCCTGGTATCTAGTATAATGCTGACTTGATGTATAATAAACTCTTCATAAATGCTTGTTGTATGTTGCTTATTTTCATGTTTGACCTGGCTTTGTTCTAAGATTCTTCTTAGTTTATATCTAGAAAATTCAAGTCCTAGAAGCTGAGATGGAGAAGAATGCATATCACCTCACAGAGAAAGACAAAGAAATACAGAGACTCAGAGAGCAGCTGAAAGTCAAGTATAATAATACTGCATTGCTTGAACAGCTGGAGGAGAAGATAAAGGAAGGCAAAAGGAGGGAACAGCTGTTGAAATCCTTGTCTGAAGAGACAGATGTATTGAAAAAACAGTTGTCTGCTACAACTGCAAGGCTTGCTGAACTTGAAAGCAAAGCCAGTACACTCCGCTTATCACAGGTACTCATCGTTTCTTTAAACTCAGATTTTTTTTCCCTTTCTGATACAATTTTTAATTCTTGTGAAGAATGGGTTTGTTCAAACACACTTGTCAAATGATGAAACAATATAGTATACTAACAAGCTATTTTTTATTTATAGCCTGGTACCCTCTCTATAAGCAAAAAGTAGTTAATATGGCTCCCTCCACTCCCCAGATCATTTTTTTTTTGTGCAAAGGAATATTCAGAATACAGAATCTACTGTGTATCTACAACATCCAAGGTTTTCTAGGGTTTTTTTTTTCCTGTAGTTCCTATCATAAAGACAGTAGCCTTCATTTTGTTATTTTCAGATTTGAGATACACAATTATAATATCCGGTATGCTTTTTCGAGCTACAAGTGCTTTTTCTCCCTCCTCCTCTGTTTTAAAGTTACTAGTGAGAACAAGGCTTTGTAGGTAGGCAGATCTGAGTTCAGATTTTGGTTCTACCACTTGCTAGTTGAGTGAACAAATTCCTTAACCTTTCTAGCTTTTAGAGACAATGCTAGAATTCACCAGACCCTTCTTCTAAACCTCAGTTTCCACACTGTTAAAATCAAGATAAGAATATTGGAGATTAAAATAGGTGACGGAGGTAGAGAGGTGTAAAAAAATAGAGAAATAATCCTGGAGATTAAATGTGGTGATATATGTAAATCCCCTAGCATGGTGCTTGGCATATAGTAAGTGCTCAAGAAATGATTTCTTATTGATTAGATCTTTGATTCTTTTGCAAATTTGAACATTTAGATAATACTAATAGTATTATTACCACCTATAGAAGAAAATCTGTAGCTTTCAGATATACCTCAATGTCGATAAGGGTCTTTGCACTTTTTCTCCTATTCAGAATAGTCAGAGTGATAGGGCCTATACCATTTACATGTACTGTCATAGATGGGCAATTGAGTACTTTTACAGGTGAATTCAAAAAGGATATGTTGATAAACCAAAGGAAGCCGATACCTCTGCAGGATTTTCTTTTCCTGCTTTCTACCGCCACCTTCCAGGCTAAGCTTAAGCCAGTGGCCTGCCGGCCTAGCACAGCTTTCCCCATGGCCCTCAGCGATGCCGATGTGCAGAAGCAGATTAAGCATATGATGGCTTTTATCGAACAAGAAGCCAACGAGAAAGCAGAGGAAATAGATGCGAAGGCAGAGGAAGAGTTCAACATTGAGAAAGGTCGTCTTGTGCAAACCCAAAGACTGAAGATTACGGAATACTATGATAAGAAAGAAAAACAGATTGAGCAGCAGAAGAAAATTCAGATGTCTAATTTGATGAATCAAGCAAGGCTCAAGGTCCTCAGAGCAAGAGATGACCTTATTACAGACCTGCTAAATGAAGCAAAACAGACTCAGCAAAGTGGGAAAAGATACAACCAGAGTCCAAGTACTGCTGGATGGACTGGTCCTCCAGGGTTTGTACCAATTGTTGGAGCCCCAAATGATTGTTCGTTGCAAGAAACAGAGCCTTTCGCTCTGGTAAAGGCTGCAGTGCAAAAGGTGATTCCTATGTACAAAATTGCCACCAAAAAAGATGTTGATGTCCAAATTGATCAGGAATCCTACCTGCTTGAGGAAATAGCTGGTGAAGTGGAGATCTATAATGGGGATTGTAAAATAAAGGTTTCCAATACTCTAGAAAGCTGACTGGACCTTATAGCCCAGCAGATGATGCCAGAAGTACGGGGAGCCTTATTTGGTGCAAATGGCAACAGGAAGTTTTTGAACTAAACCTTTGGGAGGGGTAGAGTTCATCCACTGTTCTCCTGCTGTGGCGTGGAAGTTTCTGATATTTGAAGAAACGGGGGTATCTGTGTGGCTTCCTCTTCTCTGTTCTCATAGTCTGTATTTGTCAGTGGATACTCTGTGTAGCTAATTCCCTATCCTAATTGTTAAAAATAGAAAGTTTGACTTCATGTAATCAGGAAAGCTCCTCCTTAGCTTATCTAAAAGTAGCACAACTTTCGTCGGCTTCTGTAGTGTGAGGGTGAGGGTATCATGGTGGTCACAGGAGCTTCACCAAGTCTCCGCTCTTCCTCCAGTCCTCTGCTTCTAGTTCTTGAGCCTAGAGGTGATGTGTACCGTGTTCTCTGACATGAAGTCTTTGCTCTTAGGCTTAAAGTGCATGGGGGCCATGCATGCCTCCCAGCAGTAGTCGCTTCACTGCTAACCTGTTTGGGCCTAGAAGTGTTCCTCATCTGTAAATGTGATTTAAAGCCTAAGCGGTGAATATGTCTTATTTATTAAAACAAAAGGTTTAAAAAACAAAAAAACAAAGAGGATATGTTTTTGTAGAGAATTTTCACACAGCTAAAATTCATGAAAATTATAGATCCAAAGTGATCACCTAAAACTTTTCCTTAAAGCTCAAGAATTAGTTTCTCCACTTTTAAATATGGACACACAAATTCTGGTAGAAATGATGACTCTAAAAAATGTATTCTTATAACAATCATATTATAAGGTTATTGATTTCTATGTTAGTCGGCCTGCTTTGATTCTGTAACAACCTACGAATCTTAGGGTCTCATAAAACAGATGTTCATTTTCCGCCCATGTCACGGCCTTGTGCAGGTGGGAGTGGAAGAGGCTTTGCTCTGCAGAATCACTCAGATCCAGGTTCCTTCCTTTTAGTGGCTCCCCAGCCTTGCACCAGATCCTCTGTGTACAGTTGTAAGCTAGAGGGAACGTGTGGAGCATGAAGGGAGGGTTTGGGGACCAGGCCTAGCATTGGCATATGTCACTTCTGCCCCCATTCCGTCAGACAGAATTTGGTCTCATGGCCTCACTAACTGCAGGGAAGGCTGGGAAATATAGTCCACAGTGTACCCAGAGGAAAAGGAAAAGGTTTTGGTGAATTGCCTCTGTCCTAGTTTTTACCAGGACGACTAAATTGAGGGGGAGAAAGGGCTACTGGGGTGAGCTAAGAACCTTTGGAGAAAAATATTTTGTGATTTATTGCCAGTGTTCACACAAGTCTGCTTCCTTAAAGGTGTTAAAAGACTGAAATATAGCTTGTTAGGAGTTTTGTTGGTTAGCCTGGATACCTATCCATCCAACCATCCAACCACTTTTTTCCCCTCTGTGTGAAAATTAAAAAAAAAAAGAAAGAAAGAAATTTTGAATTTTGTCTTGGGTTCCATATAATCTGTATGGACTAATACTAATTAATACTAATACAAATATAATTCTAGAAAACAACTTTTATCTTTTATTTGACAATTTAATATTTTCCAGATTTCATTTAAACAGCCTACTTGTTTAGTTTTGTCTCATTGTGGTGAAAACCACTGGGCAATTCTTAGGCACTGAGATGCGCTGGTGATCCAGATGACCTCAGAAATCAAATTAGGTATGAAATCTCAGGGCTTCCACTCTGCTGAGGAAGCTTCCAGATCTTCCTTCTCCTCTGGTACCTGTCACCTGGCATGATGGTTCATCAGCATGTACTAGATGTGGATTTTGAGATGTCCTTGTGAAGTATTCTCTGTTATTATAGAACCAAATATGGTGAGGAAACTTGTTAAATTTTTTATATTAACTAATATTGGTTTATTTCAGACTATGGCTACAAGCTGCTTCAACTCATCAATGAATAATATTCATGAAATGGAAATACAGCTGAAAGATGTAAGCTCATTTTCCTTTTATTTATTTTTATTTATTTACTTTTTAAGGCTTTTATTTATTTAAGAGAGAGAGCACGAGAAGGAGCAGAGAGAGAGACACCAGAAGACGCCATGCTCAGTGCAGAGCCCAGCACGGGGCTTGATCTCATGACTCTGAGATCATGACCTGAGCTGAACTCAAGAGTCAGATGCTTAACTGACTGAGCCATTGAGGCGCCCCTCATTTTCCTTCTATTAAGTTATGGGAAGAGAGGATTAATTAATTCGTTCTTAAATTTCATGGAAATTGACAGCATTGATGCTGTGACTTGAAAATAGTCTGTTGAGGAGAAAAGAACTGAATGGTTTGAGATCATCTCCCTATGTTACTACCTTTAGGTCTCTTTCTAGGCATTCAAGAGGGCCAGTTCCTCTAGTCCTAGTCTCTTTAGGCAAGAAAGCCCTAGAACACACCCAAATACCTCAACAATGTTCCTTCTTCACCTAAATCTAGTTTGCCCAGTTATTATATTATGTTGTAATTTCACTTATAATTTTTTCTTTTTATTTATCCATGCAAGATGTATTTATTCATTTGAAACTCTTCCCTTGGAATCCGGATTTGCTTTTGTAGTTTGAAAAGGAAACACATTCTCTGTATACTCAGTACTTTTCTGTAGAATTTGAGATAAGGTTTTCTAGATATATGGTAAGGCTATATTACTTCAAACTTATGTGTTATATAGATTGGTGTGTTTCATTGTGAATTGAATTAATTGAGGACATAGGATTATTATTCACTGTATTTTTTCAAGTTTTAGTCTCAGATACACAATGTAGAAAATTCTTGAGTTAATTATTAGGCCAGTAGGTAGGTATTTTGATTCCAGAAATATTACTGGCAAGTCTACTCTTCTCTAAGTTTCTCTTAAGATTCCTATTTTCTTTCATCTTGCAAGTGTACCTTGAGGTCTATTTGATCTTCCAAAGAATTTAAATCTGAGTGTCTGGATCGCAGGGTCCTATAGTACCTTATCAAAGTAACTCACCTACAGGTAACTAAGATAAAGAAGAAACATACTTTTTAAAGATCTATCAAAATAAGTTCCTTGTGTCATATGTTATACGACCTTTATTGTTCCATGTATGTCAATACCTACCAGCTGCACAGATGTACAGATGTATGAATGATTTATGTGCACACCTCCTACTTCCCCTTTACTTGCTCCAGCCATGCTGGCTTTCTAACTACTCCTTCGATACACTACCTTTTCTCTCTGCTCTGCCTGGCACACCGTTTCCCCAGATATCATCATGACCTCCCTTACCTTATCAGATAATATTCAATTGTCACTTTCTTGGGTGGGAGGGGTGGGGTGGGGCCAGGGCCAGAGGGTTACCTAGCCACCTTTTCTAAAATTCTAGCTCCCAGACAATTCCTATTACCTTTCCCTGCTTCTGTAACTTTTCCTCTCATCGCATATTACTGTTAAACTTACAATATATTTCACTCACGTATTGTTTTTATTATGTAAGTCTTACACTGGTATATGTTTTATGAGGGGAGGATTTCCATGTTTTTTTCACTGCTATATGCCCAGTGTCTAGAACATTTCAATTTTATTAGTACCTGAAAATATATGCTATTGTCTTAAACATACACGTAACTTTTAGGCTTCTTGGTATCAACTGCTTCAAATATCAGTTAAAGTTATTTTTAGATAATGACAATTCTTTGTATGAAAATAACTTTGAAATGTTATACATGGATACCCAACCTTTTTGTTCTCTTTTATCTTCCTGGCTTACTTAAGGATCATATTGTGCTCCTCTGCTCTGTTTACCTTAGAAAGGATTTCAGATAAGTGGAGTAAAATTTAACCCAACTCACCATCCAATGGTCTAGCCTGAGCAAGGCCTCCCAGACTCTCCTGTGCATATGAGACTAGGGGATCTTCATAAAACACAAATTCTGATTTCATTGGTTAGGGTAGGGTCCGAGATCCCACGTTTCCAATAAGCTCTCAGCTCTGCTGTATTAACTTACACATTTGAGGAGCAAGAGATGATTTAGCTCTGGTTGTCTCTGAGCCCAGGGGCAGACTAGGAAGCAGGGAAAGTAACCTGTCACTCCTCTGAGCACAGGGCTCACATTATTCTGCTTTGAGAGCTCAGTAGTTCCAGTCCTTTGCCCTTCCTCCAGGTTCCCACAAAGCTTCTTGGATCACTTTGCCCACCTATTTTAAGAATCAGTATTCGTTATGCTGAAAAAAGCCCTAAAAACCCATGTTCACCTTTCTTAATGCCTAACTGTATCATTCCTCAGTGACCATTTAGGTCTGGCTGACATTTTGAAATAATTACATGGAGTTCATACTGTAAACATTGTAGTGTCATTGACTTGCAAACCAAATAGCTAAGAGGAAGCTGAAGTAGGCATTTCTTGCTCTGAATTTTAAAAATCTGATTTTTAAACAATTTAAGGAAGGTAAATAACGATTATTAATTTTTATTTGGAAAAAATTCAAGGGATCCCTGGGTGGCGCAGCGGTTTAGCGCCTGCCTTTGGCCCAGGGCGCGATCCTGGAGACCCGGGATCGAATCCCACATCAGGCTCCCGGTGCATGGAGCCTGCTTCTCCCTCTGCCTGTGTCTCTGCCCCTCTCTCTCTCTCTCTCTCTCTCTCTCTATCATAAATAAATAAAAAAAAATTTAAAAAAAGGAAAAAATTCAAATTTACAGGAAAGTTACAAGAATAAAAATGGTAAGTAGAACACCCATATACTCTACCAAAATTCAAACATTGTTAATGTTTTGCTTCATTTTATATATCTCTTCAATCCCCACCCAGACCCCCCAGAACATAAATTTTTTTCCCGAACCTTTTAAGAGTGAGTCGCATGTATTACAGCCCCTTAAACCTATATACTTAAATATATATTCCTCAGAACAAGGATGTCTTCTTACATGTCTACAGTACAGATAGCAACTTAATTTTTTTTAAGATTTTATTTATTTGATAGAGGGAGAGAGAGCAAACAAGTGGGGGTGGGGGTAGGAGCAGAGGGAGAAGCAGATTCCCCACTGAGTGAGGAGCCCTACTCAGCTCTCAGTCCCAGGACCCTGGGATCATGACCTGAGCCGATAGCAGGCACATAATTACAGCTTTGTCAGTTGACTCGCTTTTTTTATTCCTCCAGTATAGACTAACATTGTAACCTATGTTAGAGTTTTTGCTCAGGAAACATAAAATGGATCCCTGTGAAGCCTGAGGAAGAGCTTCAGTAGCATTCACTTTTGCCTACTTGTGTTCCATATTTTTTTTTCTGTTCCATATTTTTATTGATAATTTGAGTGGAAATGTTAAATGCATGCCTTATAAATGTATAGAGGGCACAAAGCTGGAAGAGATGATAATGCAATGATGACTCCAAAGATGCAAAACTAATATAAACATTTATTGATAGCCATCAAGTCCATTTATTATTGATACTATTTAGAGAAGAAAGCAAATGCAGAAGACAGTGAGGCCTGGAGGAAAGAAACATTGACTACTTTACTACTTTACCGCCATCACCTGGTCTTTTAGAATATTGCCCCTCAAATCTTCAAGATCAGTTCTGTTTCTCATACTTAAGTGATGTATGGACAGGTTCCTTTAAAAGAAAATTTTCGGGGCACCTGGGTGGCTCAGTCCATTAAGCATCTGGCTTCAGCTCTGGTCTTGATCTCAGGATCATGGGATCCAGCCCCGCATTGAACTCCCTGCTCAGCAGGGAGTCTGCTACTCCCCTTCCCTTTGCCCCTTTTCCCTGCTCCTGCTCTCCCTCTTGCTCTTGTGCTCTCTCTCAAATAAATAAATCTTAAAAAAGGAGAAAATTTTCAGCACCATCCAACGTTGACTTGAATTATATATATTGAAATGTTTCTTGGGGCACCTGGGTGACTCAGTGGTTGAGCATCTGCCTTTGGCTCAGGTTGTGATCCCCAGGTCCTGGGATCAAGTCCTGTATCAGGCTCCCCACAGGGAGCCTGTTTCTCCATCTGCCTATGTTTCTGCCTCTCTCCTGTGTCTCTTATGAATAAATGAAGTCTTTAAAAAACTGTTTCTTAAATAAAGTTGGACAGATTTAAAATTTGATATACAATTAGGTATTTTTAGCATCAGACACATGATTTATAAAGATTTGGTTATATGCATGCTTTTTGAATCCTACAACACTACCTCTTTTGGCAGCTAAATTTGAGTATTTAATACAGAGTGAATGTACATTATCTCCGCTTTCCAAATCTACTCTTAAACTCTGTGAGGAGGACTCATGTTATAACTGCCTGACAGGTACCAAGAGAAAAGTGTGTGGTCAAGTGACTGGAGGACCTTGGACTAAGTCTTTGATTCCAGAAGCTGCCTCTGTCATCCTAATCCATTTCTTAGTTCTGCAGAGAGCAGACACTGAAATTCTTTAAGCCCCATGCCTACATGCTCATGAGTTTGTAGGATGCTCATGGAAAGAGCCTAGTAAAGGTTAGAAGAACTCTCTAGACTGAGGAGTTTTTATATAGAAAGATCTTTTCAGACTTGAAGCTCAGCTGTTTTATATCTTTAAAAGATAGAAATTCTTACTCTAAAAGAAGACGCCTTAGTATACAACTGAAAATGTCCAGTGTGTTCCTTTCTGCTTTTCCCATCTCACCCCCTGAGGTGAGATGCCAGCTCATAGGAGAGAGGAGCTACTCCTTTTTCAGTGTATTTACAACAAATGCAGGGTGATTGAAAAAGAATTGAACATTTTTGAAAGTGTTTCAGTATGTATGTTTTACTTCAGTCTGCTTTGATCATGCAACTTTTTTGTCAAGAACTTTGTGCCATCTTTTTTGGCACCCCTGAAGGATATAAAATTATACGTCCTGGCTGCCACTTCAACCACTGATAATAATAGATTTCAACAGGTCTGAGTGAATTATGACACAAAGGGTGCATAGTATACACTTGTTAAAATCATAGAAATAGCTATGGTAGTTCCATTATAAAGGGGTTTGAAATTCATTTTCATATATTCCTTAGTTAATGAGAAATAGCTTTTTGAGAGTGTTTGATTCTTTTTAAATCATTTTTTTTATTTATTTATGATAGTCACACACACACACACACACAGAGAGAGAGAGAGGCAGAGACACAGGCAGAGGGAGAAGCAGGCTCCATGCACTGGGAGCCCGACGTGGGATTCGATCCCGGGTCTCCAGGATCGCGCCCTGGGCCAAAGGCAGGCGCTAAACCGCTGCGCCACCCAGGGATCCCTCTTTTTAAATCATTTTGAATGGATTATTCTAGTATGTATAAGGAACTACTAGATTTTTTCATGACGTTTCCTCCCCTGAATACCCAAACTTCAGTTTGGGGCTAAAAGGCTTGTGTGGGTGCTTGCCAATTCTGGCAACCATTGTTTCTCTGCTCCATGTTGTTACCATCGTTCACATTTATTAGGCAGCTACTTGCCATGGAAGCATCGAACGTATAAATGGAACTATACAAAATCTAAACAAGCCTGGGCCAGCTGTCCAGGGGCCATGATCTAGTTCAGATAAGAACTATCATCAGAACACAATCAAGGTCATTAGTATAAGATGCCAAATAAATTGAATGGACATTAAAATCACTGTTGGCTTACAAAGGAGAGGGAGCTTGGTGAGGGCACTTATGGCAAGGAGGCCTGAAAGACAACCCTGGACGCACTGGAACTTGATGAAATGGTGGGATTTAAATGGGCACGTGATATAGGAAGGAGTTCTAGGGCATTCTGGGCAAGAGGGTCTGTATAGCTATGTGGACAGCAAGGTGGCAGCGGAGACCAGAAATGGCTAGGCTGTAACCTGAAGAGATAGGAAGAGGCAGTTTATGGGCCATTTTAATGTTAGCCTAAGGGAACATAGCTTCAGTTTTAGCAAGTGGTGTCATGAAGCTCTCAAAAACTCTGTTACTAATTAAATGATTTAGCACTTAGGGGAACCAAGGGAGAGGTTGAACTGAACTTATTAAGAGTTGTTTTTCCTCCCAAAGTAGAATGATCATTGTATTAATTAACCTAAAGTTTTTGGTGATAGTCTGTGTCTCCTCTCACTCTCTTAATGGGGGAATCACCTTCCAACTGAGGGTCTGCATTGTTGAGCAAAAAATGGACACATCTTTTTCTTTTTTCTTTTAATCCAAAAGCAGGGTTTACCAAGATCCAACAGTCAATCGTTGCTCAAGACAAATCATAGCATGGGTGCCAGGGGCAGAGGACTCAGTACAGATGAGCTTGGCTATCATGAAGGGGTATTCATGTCACTATGTAGGCCTCCTTCTGGGATGTTTCATCCATACTTTACATATGTGACATGAGGTTAGGATGTATATGGACGCGCTACACAAATAACCGTTGAGATTTACTTGCCCAGCCTCTCAGAAACAAAGAACAAGAAAAGAACAGTCTCATCTTCTTAGATTGAACTTCCAGGTTAGAAAGAAGACTTATAATCTCATTGCATGGTGGTGCAGTATAAGAATTTCTAGGCTTTTCCGCCCAGAATCAGCAGACGAATTGTCTATTTTGCTAGCTTTAACTTGAATCTGTGCCCCACTTTCAGTAACAAAACTAAGGGAAGGGGGGAGGGTAGTGTGCAGTTGCTGGGGATACGGGGCTGTCCTGGCAGACTCCTTTGGCTTTGCCTTTCACTGCATTTCCAGGGATCAACTGGTTAAGAACAATGAGAGTTAGAGGATATATGAATTTGTCCTGGTTGATAATAATACACCACCTCATAAATCTACACACCTTTGTCCATATATGCCACCTTGCTTTATCCACTAAAGTTAATGTAGCTTCTTATGTGAGGATTTGCCAGTGTCTTACCACAGATCAGGTGGTATCAGGTTTTTAGACTTAGGCTAGGCGGCCAACCAAGTAAGGCTATCAGAGCATGTCTAGTTTCTTGAAGGAAAGAACCAAAATGAAAAACTGTTAGCAGTAACAGTAAACTAATGTTAGCAGTAAAAGTAAAGTGAATCAGTTTCTCTGTTATCTGCTAACTTAAATAAACACTGCCTACTTTATTAATATTATGCCATCATCCGGATGATTTCTGGAGTACATATTATACACAAAGCCAGGAATACTTCCAGAGGAGCATGGTCTGCCACTTCAAGAAACTTACTATTTAAAAGACAAAGTAACCACAGATTAAAAAGCTGAAGATGTTTGGCAAAAAAATTTTTATTTTATTTATTTATTATTTGTTTGGTAAAACGACTTTTAAAAATATGTAGACATATATATATATAACAACCGAGTTCATAAGCCCCTTTGCAAATCAAGTGAGTGATCCCAGTGTGGGATTTTTACTTGAGTCCTAAGAGGATGAAAATTGGTGATAAAGAGGGGGCAGGGGCTCCTTAGGTGTGATTCTCTGAGAGGCAGCCACAAGGTGGAGTTTGGAGTTCAGGTTATTGGGCAACAGCATCTGTAACGGAGAAGGAAAGTGGCTGGACTGGGCGGGAGCACCAGCCCACCAGGCCGCAGGCCCGTGTCTCTCTCCACATGGAGAGCTCCTGAGCAGAGTTGTGTGTTGGGTGGAAATCTCTGGAGCAGGGGCTCTACCTCTGCCACAGAGGTGTTCTAATTTACATGGACAGACACAAAGCAAGTTGTGTATAGAACAAATGAACTTGACCCCCTGGAAACATGACTTCACCATGGTGTTAGGTGCTCTGAAGGACCTTGACGTCAGAATGGATCTCCGGGTTTCAGACCATGTGGTGGTGGTCTAGAGTTCTATTTGACCCACAAGAATTTCTTTGTACTAGGAAAGGCTACATCACTGGGGCTCCCTTACCCTTTTGAAGATTTTGGGTTTTTTTTTAATTTTATTAATGATTGGCTTTCATTTTTTTTTTTGAGGCTCTGGAGAAAAATCAGCAGTGGCTTGTGTATGATCAACAACGGGAGGTCTATGTAAAAGGACTTTTAGCCAAGATCTTTGAGTTGGAACAGAAACTGGAAACAGCTGCTCATTCATGCCCACAGCAGACAAAAAAGGCTGAATCAGAAGGTACTGGTATAAAAATGTTCTTTTGGGGTAGGCTTGCCTGCCATTTTCCAAAAGGAGAGATTTGTCAAATTTAGATTTTTATAAATATGTTAGAAAGTGAATTAAGCAAGTCTTATAACTCTGAAGTAAGAAAGACTATGTTAGCAAGTTTGTTTTCTCATTGTTTTCTGATCAAAGGGACCAGAGGCACAGGGTGATGGATCTCTGACAGTTCTAAAGGCACATTAAATTTTCTCCTTCCTATGTGTCCTTCCCCACTTTCACAGATCTTCTCCAACTTCATTTCCCCCACAGTTGGCCTCCTCACTGATCATGTTTTTACTTTGCTTCCTTTCATGTATTGGTCAGTCCCAGAAGAAAGAATACATCTTATAGATGATTCTTCAGTCCTTTGAATCTCCCACAGAATTGAAATGAAGGCTCCTAGGGAGTATGCAACCTTTTTTCCAAGGGCTTTGCAGCTTCCCTGGCTTTGAGTTTCACAAGAACCCTAAGAGGTGGGGCAAGAGGGGTCATTATTCTCATTTTACAGATGGGGAAATAGGTCCAGCAGTTCTAGCTTATAAACTAAGAAAAGAAGAGAAACCTCCCATGCAAAGCACTTGTTAAAAACTGATAGCCCTAACGGGACTGAAGCTTTGAATTATATAAAGAGAAGGCTAAAGAAAGGCAGGCAAGGCTCATAATCTTGGAGCTTCACATTTGAAAATTTTATTTTATTTTATTTTATTTAAGATTTTATTTATTCATTCATGATAGTCACAGAGAGAGAGAGAGGCAGAGACATAGGCAGAGGGAGAAGCAGGCTCCATGCAGGGAGCCCGACGTGGGACTCGATCCCGGGTCTCCAGGATCGTGCCCTGGGCCAAAGGCAGGCACCAAACCGCTGTGCCACCCAGGGATCCCCAGATTTGAAAATTTTAAATGAAGCTAATGCTAAAAAAGAAAATATAGGGGAGGCTCTGTGGCTCAGTGTCTGCCTTTGGCTCAGGTCATGATCCTGGGGTCCTGGGATCAAGCCCCATGTCAGGCTCCATGCTCAGGGGGCAGCCTGCTTCTCCCTCAGCTGCTCCCCTTGCTTGTGTTCGCTCATTCTCTCTCTTATCAAATAAATAACTAGAAATTTTTTTAAAAAGGAAAATATAAAAGAATTGGGGGCAAAGTTACTTTACTACAATGCTTTTATAAGTTTATTACACATAAAAGGAATATTTTAGTGGTGGGCTAAGTCTAATTTTTCTTTCTTTGGCAATATAGGTTTTTCTGTCTGTATGTGTTTTATCAAAGTGATATGAACTCTTGTTAAAGTAATTTAATAGAAGTATAGGAAGGTCTGCCCACCCTTCCCTTCCCATTCCAATCGCTCTTTCTTCCTCCTATGAGAGCAATTGCTTTCAGCATTTTTGTTTTTAATTTTGGTAATTATATATATATGAACAGTGAGTTTATATCTCTACTTGTTGATTTATCTTCTTTACATTATTACTTTATCTTCCCATAGAACAGCTATGTTACTGTTTCCACTTCTTCTATTTGTTAGTTTTACTTCAAAAAATGTACCTGAACTTCTTTTTCTCGTTCTGTCGAATATCAACCCTATCTCTTGACTCTTCATTTCATAAGATCTTATTTATAGAAATGTGTTTAGTTTTAACTTCTCAGGGAAATTATCTATTATATAAAAAGTGTGTTGTGCCACAATGTGTTTGTCATAGATTTTCTTCAAGAAGAAAAGCAAAAATACTACAACCATCTCTTGGCAAATGCAAAAAGAGACCTCGAGGTTGAACGACAGACCATAACTCAGTTGAATTTTGAACTTAGTGAATTTCAAAGAAAATATGAAGAAACCCAAAAAGAAGTTCAAGATTTAAATCAACTGTTGTCTTCACAAAGAAAGGCAGATGTACAACATCTGGAAGACGATAGGCATAAAACAGAGAAAATACAAAGGCTCAAGGAAGAGTATGATATTACTAGGGAAAAACTTGAAGAGGAGAAGAAGAGATCTGAAGAGCTCTTTTCTCAGGTGAGCCTAACCAGTAAGACTATCCATGATCCAGAATTCGAAATTGTCATTGTACTCATCCAGTGTCAGGGACTATTTTAACTACGAGGGAACCAGCAAGGAACAAAACAAGTTCCTGCCCTACTATGGGATTCTTTAGAGTGGAAACAGACCCTAAACAAGTACCTTCATAACCAAGTAAAAAAAAAGCAGGGCAATATGATGCAGAGAGACTGGAGGCCTGAGATGGTACTGAGACAAAGGTCTTTGGGTAAGAAGGAACCAGTAAGGTGAGCAATGGGGAATTCCCTGTGGAGGAACTCAGGTGTACAACGCAGTTGGTGAGAGGGAGGCAGGTGTGTGCCAGAAGTCAGAAGGTGTGAAGCAAAGGGGAACTGATGCTGGTTCCCAGTCTGGCACCTTGATCATGGTGATGCTGTGCTCAAGTTAATTCACACAAATCTTCCATGTTCTCGTTCTACTCCCCACCTTCTGCCAGGATGTCTGTGTCGGTGACATTAGAGTTACTAAGTTAGGATGATTAGAATTGACAAGTACTTTGGCAGAAACCATTCATTTAAGTCTTACTCGGCAGCATGGAATAACGGAAAAAACATGATCTGGGATCCATACTTGGTCTCTAGTTCAGGATGTGCCGCCTTAGGAAAATCAGCTGCCTTCCCAGACTTGCAGGTCATTGGTGTGTCAAATTAATCACAACAATCTCTTTTTGCTTCATAAGGGCTTTTGTGAAGGTCAGCTGAGAGAATGTGAAAGGTCTTTGTAAAGTCAAGGGCTGGGTAGAAGTTAGTTATTGCTATTATTAGAATACGAAGTAATTTTTTAAAATCATCCAAAAGTTGAGCGAGGGATTAAAAAAAAGTCTGTGACATTTGCCTTCTTAGTCTTTACCACCTAGCTTCTGCCTACAGGTGCATACAGTGATATTTACAAAAGATTAAGCAAAAATGGTTGAGAATTCTATTGCACACCTCTGCGGACCAGGAGGGCAAGGCATGGCCAGCTTTGTTATCCAACTCAGAAATATTAGCAGATGTCAGTACTTCAAGAGAGTAGGTGTGTGTGCTGTAGAGTTTGGTGCTGTTCACCGCCATGCAGTCTGTGCCCCAGGGAACTCTCAGCCAGGGTGGTTCTGCTCAGCTGCTTTATAGATTGCCATCAAACAAGCAGCTGCAGTGACTCAGCGCGACAAGCAGGTGTTGTCCCAGATAGAGATGTGAGACTGGTGAGCTTCTCATGCACCCCAGGTCACGCAACAGAAGATCAGCTATGACGGTGTTGGCTCTGTTTACATCTGACAGGTCCAGTTCCTTTACACGTCTCTGTTAAAGCATCAAGAAGAACAAACAAGGATAGTTCTGCTGGAACAACAGGTACTTATTGGGGTTGCTTCTAAATTCACCTTAATTTGTTAGGAAATGGAATATTTCCTCATGTTTATTCTGTGAAGAACCATTTGAAAGTCATGAAAAGAATTTTTTTTTTTAGAGAGAGCATGGGGTGGGTGGGGAGGGGCAGTGGGAGAGAGAGAAAGAGAGAGAGAGAGAGAGAGAGAGAGAGAGAGAGAGAGAATATCTTACTAAGCAGACTCCATGCCCAGCATGGAGCCCATTGTGGGGCTCAATCTCTCAAACTGAGATCATGACCAGAGTCAAAGTCAAGAGTCAGACGCTTAAGTGACTGAGCCCACCCAGGCACCCCTGAAAAATGTTTTTAATAAACTTTAACAACCAAAAAAATTAAGTGACTATCTGACTTATCTTGCCATATATTTCTGTCTTTAAGCTAAACCAGATTCTCTGAACTGGGATGGCAATTGTTTTGACAGGGTGATGTTGGCCTTAGCAAATTTTATTCTTCCCCACATGGCTCCCATAGTCCCTATTCTAGCCTAGCAGGGTCTCCCCATGAGGGCTACTGTATAACTTCAAGCAGATCTCAGAGAGGTACCATTTATTCTCAGAACAGAGACCAGAGGTTTTTAGTGTATTCCAAACTGAGGAATAGCCATCTCTTTCCCTTCTTCCCCTTCCCCACAAACAGGGGAGGGGGATGGGGAGGAGAAATTCCAGTCAACTTCCTGAGCTCCTCCTCACTCACCTATACCTCCAGCATTTGCTTTGCTCCTTGAATAAACCAAAGCCTCAACCGTAAGCTTCATTTATCAACATCTTATTGTACTCAGATGAATTCTTGCTGAGAGGCACAAATGCTTGCCTCTTGTGCCATGAAAAACATTTATACATCTAGTCCAGAGAACCGGACAGTGTCTATTAAGCCGTAATTGTCTTGTCCTGGGCATTTGTTCCAGATGCATGCCATGTACTTTAGACTTTGAAAATGAAAAACTTGACCGTCAGAATATGCAGCACCAACTGCATGTAATTCTTAAGGAGCCCCAAAAAGCAAGAAATCAAATAACACAGTTGGAATCCTTGCTGAGTTTGGAATGGTTCAACTAAAACTTCTTTTCTTCTTTCTCTTGCTGCTGTTTTTCCATTTATTTATCAAACCAGTTCCCAAACCAGGAGGATACAGCTTAAGAATGGCTGTTTCTCAAATCAGTAGGCAAAAGAACCCCTGCTTCATCTGAAGCAGCTGCCTTTTAGCATCAACCCAGAGCGCTAGGAAGAGGGACATGATGGGCCTCAGCATCATGACGCTGAGTGGTGCCTGGATCTTCTCCGCCCCAGCACAGGATTCTAGAGGCACTACACAGGGGCTGCCCTGGGGGCCGTGGGGAAAGGGAGCGCACTTGTAAATCCTCAACGGAAACTGTGTTTTTCTATTTAAAAAGAAAAATGCCATTTTTAGTGATAATAGACTGTTCCTGTTAATACACTGTTTTAAGCATATTAAATTAAGCACATTTTGTGGGTTACCTTTGAACACATAATCTTTTAAAACATAAGCCTTTTAAATGATTTCTTCTATGAAGAAGTGATTTTTGACTTATTATTTGCATCTTACTAATAAGCTTTTGGGATCTGTGTTTGCGTGTTATGTCCCATTGGCCCGTATTTTATACGTGATCGTAGTACTACAGAATATTTGCAGATGGTGAAATGTTACAAATAGACTTCCTCAGTTTTTGAAAGAGAAAAAAGCAATTGTTAAAATCATTTGTAGCTTCTTTATGAGTAAAAGACAATATGCTTTGACTCTAGTAAGTCATTGGTTTTGAGGATTTATAATATTTGAAATTGAAATTTATAACTCATTCTGTTACTATTTTTCAAAGTATAGGAAACTGGAGGGTATACAAAAGAGCCCATAATTTTCCTGTGCTTTTTTTCTTTGTGTCCCTGCTGTCCGTCATCTTTAGACTGTGCTATAAAATACTCATTTTTAAGCTTTATCGACTATTCTGAGTTCCTTAGGGAGAAAAAAACATGAAAAAGGAAAGTCACAAACATTTTATACAGTATTTTCATCATTTCTGTGTGTAACCTGTTTGATCAACATTAAAATTTTTTGCTATTCTTGATTCTACATTGTTTTTATTGCTGAACTTGCTGCTTTTTTAGAAAACTAGCAAGTTCGGCCAGCCTTGCACACAAGTCTACCTTTACATTTGGCTCTAAGTATTTTAATAGAACCTATCCATGTAAACCCCCAAGCCTAGTACTACTTCTTGGGTAATTCGGGTAATTTCTAACCACCTCATATATATTTATTTTTCAGAAGCAGCTTCTGGAGCTTGCCCTCCTCACAGAGCCATTAGTCACTTTCCAAGGAGAGTCTGAAAACAGAGTAAAAGTCGCCTCACCAAAAACTCCCACTGCTGCGCTAAATGAAAGCCTGGTGGAATGTCCCACGTGCGATATACAGTACCCTGCCACAGAACATCGAGATCTACTTGTCCACGTTGAATACTGTTCCAATTAGCAATATAAGTATTCTTTGTTTTTGTGTCAAAAGATTCAATACTGTATCTTATGTTAGCTTATGGATATTTTGAATTACTTATTTCACCGCTTACATAAGAAACTGCCTCTCTACCTTCAGAGACTCTGGTACAGGAGTGAATCATTGTATTTTTTTGGCTGCTTTGCATTTTCCTTGGCAGATTTACCTCCCTGAGATCGTTCATCTTCAGGCTTCAGTGATGCAATGTGTGAGCTGAGGCAGCTGACATTTTGCACTGTTAAAGTACTTGATGAAGAAAAGATAGTTCAGGTTATTGCTCACGGGTTAAATTTGTTGCACCAACAAGCAAATATTTTATGTTTTGTAGGTTTTTAAAAACCAGAGATAACTAACCAAGGATCTTAACTATGTTGGCTTTTGTTACCCAAGCCTCATAAACGTACAATTCCGATTTTCATGGCATTGTTATACTTTCTATATTTTTTCCTTTCTATTACAAGGCGGTTATTAGAAAAGTTGGAAATTTTCTTGACCTTTTTTGCTGCTTACTGTTGAAACCTAGCTGTGTTCTAAGCACAAAGCAGATTCTGCTTAAGAAATACTCAGTGGACACATAATGTTCTCTTTCATACTAACTGACTGTAACTTTAAGTTGAATTTTGTTACCACATGTTGGTCATTTAAAGGTGTTATAATGGGGGATCCCTGGGTGGCACAGCGGTTTGGCGTCTGCCTTTGGCCCGGGGCGCGATCCTGGAGACCCGGGATCGAGTCCCACGTCGGGCTCCTGGTGCGTGGAGCCTGCTTCTCCCTCTGCCTGTGTCTCTGCCTCTCTCTCTCTGTGACTATCATAAATAAATAAAAATTTAAAAAAAGGTGTTATAATGAATTTTAGCAAAACCATCTAGCCCTCTCATTTGATTGGCAGGCATTTTATTTATTTATTTTTGGCACTCTTAAAGTTGGGCAGTGTAATGAGCAGATATTTGCTTATCCGAATATATATTTTTATACATCTGTGTGTAAACCCCCAATTTTTTTTTTATTCAAGTTTTCTAAAATGCTGAACACTGGGCTACTGTTAGTAATATAAAGGAGAAAAGAATAAAATTATTTAATAAGTTTTAATATGCCTAGTGTTTATGTACATAGGTAAGTATTCTCAGATTTCTCTCCTGAGAGGTGTGCCAAAACAATGGATTCACTTATAGTGTAAACCGATAAGGTAGTTAAGGATCCATTGGAACCCCAAACCACATTAGGCTGTGAAAGGTTAAGCAGGATCCCCACAATCATTTAAAAAAGAAGCGTATACATTCTTGGGGGTTTCAAACTCCCAAGTCAACTCCAAAGCCATTCTTCTCTCTACCCTGCCAGAAAACCCTTGTGAATTCTCCAAACTCAATATACTTAAGTGATAATATAACCAGAGTAATGGAATGTTCCTTGAGTCAGAGAGGACCCAACTGATGTTCCCATCCCTCTGGTCTGAGAAGTTGTTGTGTCTTGTCGAACCCCTACTCCACCTGTTCCATGGATCCCTGCTATGCGAGTTCTCCAGCATCTCTAATCTCATTCTCCAAACACCTAACCTATTAAATACCAACTACCTGCAAGTCCCTGGCCTAGGTATTAGTGACACGGTTATAATAAAATGCAGCCCCATCTTCACCATCTAGCAGAGGAGGCCAATATCTAACAGATAAGTATAATACATAGTAGGAGGTGCTATAATCAAGGTATATGGAGGGTACAGAAACTGCCTTATTCTAATAAATACTGGAGGTCTTCCTCTTATAGACATCATGATGACACTAAACTCATATCTGTCAATAGTAACTGAACGTGAACGGGCTCAATGACCCCATCAAAAGGCGCAGGGTTTCAGACTGGATAAAAAAGCAGGACCCATCTATTTGCTGTCTACAAGAGACTCATTTTAGACAGAAGGACACCTACAACCTGAAAATAAAAGGTTGGAGAACCATTGACCATTCAAATGGTTCTCAAAAGAAAGCAGGGGTAGCCATCCTTATATCAGATAAACTAAAATTTACCCCGAAGACTGTAGTGAGAGACGAAGAGGGACACTATCTCATACTTAAAGGATCTATCCAGCAAGAGGACTTAACAATCCTCAATATATATGCCCCGAATGTGGGAGCTGCCAAATACTTAAACGAATTATTAACCAAAGTGAAGAAATACTTAGATAATAATACACTTATACTTGGTGACTTCAATCTAGCTCTTTCTACCCTCGATAGTTCTTCTAAGCACAACATCTCCAAAGAAACGAGAGCTTTAAATGATACACTGGACCAGATAGATTTCACAGATATCTACAGAACTTTACATCCAAACTCAACTGAATACACATTCTCAAGTGCACATGGAACTTTCTCCAGAATAGACCACATACTGGGTGACAAATCGGGTCTGAACCGATACCAAAAGATTGGGATCGTCCCCTGCATATTCTCAGACCATAACGCCTTGAAATTAGAACTCATTCACAAGAAGAAGTTTGGAAGGACCTCAAACACGTGGAGGTTAAGGACCATCCTGCTAAAAGATGAAAGGGTCAACCAGGAAATTAAGGAAGAATTAAAAACATTCATGGAAACTAATGAGAATGAAGATACAACCGTTCAAAATCTTTGGGATGCAGCAAAAGCAGTCCTGAGGGGGAAATACATCAGCAATACAAGCATCCATTCAAAAACTGGAAAGAACTCAAATACAAAAGCTAACCTTACACATAAAGGAGCTAGAGAAGAAGCAGCAAATCGACCCTACACCCAGCAGGAGAGGAGAGTTAATTAAAATTCGAGCAGAACTCAACGAAATTGAGACCAGAAGAACTGTGGAACAGATCAATAGAACCAGGAGTTGGTTCTTTGAAAGAATTAATAAGATAGATAAACCATTAGCCAACCTTATTAAAAGGAAGAGAGAGAAGACTCAATAAAAATCGTGAATGAGAAAGGAGAGATCACTACCAACACCAAGGAAATACAAACGATTTTAAAAACATATTATGAACAGCTCTACGCCAATAAATTAGGCAATCTAGAAGAAATGGACGCATTCCTGGAAAGCCACAAACTACCAAAACTGGAGCAGGAAGAAATAGAAAACCTGAACAGGCCAATAACCAGGGAGGAAATTGAAGAAGTCATCAAAAACCTCCCAAGACACAAGAGTCCAGGGCCAGATGGCTTCCCAGGGGAATTCTATCAAACGTTTAAAGAAGAAATCATACCTATTCTACTAAAGCTGTTTGGAAAGATAGAAAGAGATGGAGTACTTCCAAATTCATTCTATGAGGCCAGCATCACCTTAATTCCAAAACCAGACAAAGACCCCACCAAAAAGGAGAATTACAGGCCAATATCCCTGATGAACATGGATGCAAAAATTCTCAACAAGATACTAGCCAATAGGATCCAACAACACATTGAGAAAATTATTCACCACGACCAAGTAGCATTTATCCCCGGGACACAAGGCTGGTTCAACACTCGTAAAACAATCAATGTGATTCATCATATCAGCAAGAGAAAAACCAAGAAGCCATATGATCCTCTCATTAGATGCAGAGAAATCATTTGACAAAATACAGCATCCATTCCTGATCAAAACTCTTCAGAGTGTAGGGATAGAGGGAACTTTCCTCGACATCTTAAAAGCCATCTACGAAAAGCCCACAGCAAATATCATTCTCAATGGGGAAGCACTGGGAGCCTTTCCCCTAAGATCAGGAACAAGACAGGGATGTCCACTCTCACCACTGCTATTCAACATAGTATTGGAAGTCCTAGCCTCAGCAATCAGACAACAAAAAGACATTAAAGGCATTCAAATTGGCAAAGAAGAAGTCAAACTCTCCCTCTTCGCGATGACATGATACTCTACATAGAAAACCCAAAAGCCTCCACCCCAAGATTGCTAGAACTCATACAGCAATTTGGTAGCGTGGCAGGATACAAAATCAATGCCCAGAAGTCAGTGGCATTTCTATACACTAACAATGAGACTGAAGAAAGAGAAATTAAGGAGTCAATCCCATTTCCAATTGCACCCAAAAGCATAAGATACCTAGGAATAAAGCTAACCAAAGAGGTAAAGGATCTATACCCTAAAAACTATAGAACACTTCTGAAAGAAATTGAGGAAGACACAAAGAGATGGAAAAATATTCCATGCTCATGGATTGGCAGAATTAATATTGTGAAAATGTCAATGTTACCCAGGGCAATTTACACGTTCAATGCAATCCCTATCAAAATACCATGGACTTTCTTCAGAGAGTTAGAACAAATTATTTTAAGATTTGTGTGGAATCAGAAAAGACCCCGAATAGCCAGGGGAATTTTAAAAAAGAAAACCATATCTGGGGCATCACAATGCCAGATTTCAGGTTGTACTACACAGCTGTGGTCATCAAGACAGTGTGGTACTGGCACAAAAACAGACACATAGATCAATGGAACAGAATAGAGAACCCAGAAGTGGACCCTGAACTTTATGGTCAACTAATATTCGATAAAGGAGGAAAGACGATCCACTGGAAGAAAGACAGTCTCTTCAATAAATGGTGCTGGGAAAATTGGTCATCCACATGCAGAAGAATGAAACTAGACCACTCTCTTGCACCATACACAAAGATAAACTCAAAATGGATGAAAGATCTAAATGTGAGACAAGATTCCATCAAAATCCCAGAGGAGAACTCAGGCAACACCCTTTTTGAACTTGGCCACAGTAACCGGAGAAGGACAAACAGTGTATGTTCTCATTCATTTGGCGAATATGAATAATAGTGAAAGGGAATATAAGGGAAGGGAGAAGAAATGTGTGGGAAATATCAGAAAGGGAGACAGAGCATGAAGACTTCTAACTCTGGGAAACGAACTAGGGGTGGTGGAAGGGGAGGAGGGCGGGGGGTGGGGGTGAATGGGTGAGGGGCACGGAGGGGGACACTTGACGGGATGAGCACTGGGTGTTATTCTGTATGTTGGTAAATTGAACACCAATAAAAATTAATTTATTAAAAAAATAAAAAAATAAAAATAGAAAAAAAGGAATAAACATTAAAAAAAAAAGAAAATAAAGTGTCAATGACTTTTGTTTTTTAAGTGACAACTGAATTCAGAGGTGAAGTGTGTATATTTCTCCTGGCTACATCCTGTTATTTGCTATAAGTTATACCTGAAATTGATGAATTAATCAATTCAGCAAGCTCTTACTAGGTATCTCCTGGCTGCCAAGCCAAGCGCTAGGTTCTGGGGACACCTGTCTCTGCCTGGAGAATCTTCCAGGTGAATGCAGGAGCCAAAGAGGTGAGCCTGCATGACAGCATGTGGCAGTAGAAAGTGCTGAAGTGGTGCAGGCTCCTGGAAGACATGGTGTTTGAACAGGTTTGAATGCTGGGTGTGAACTAGCAGGAGGTAGGAGGAGAGGAGTTAGGGCAAGCTATTGCAGGCAGAGGAAAACATGCATAAAAGCCCAGTGATATGAATAAGTAAAGGATATTCTGGGAACAGCAGGCAGTTTGGCATAACTGTAGTGAAGTGTGAATGTGAGCATCTGATAGAAGAGGAGGCTACAGAGGTGAACAGAGCAGAGCAAGAAAAGCCTTCTATGGCTTGCATCCCATTTAGAAAGTTCTGGAAAACCACTAATAATTTTAATAAGGGGATGCCATGATTGCATTTAAATATCAGAAAGATTCTTCTGGTAGTAATATCCATGTGGGGTTGGAGGGGATCAAGCCTGGGATGCCAACAGACATACTGACCTAGGGAAACAAGAGTGGGAATGTTCCAGACCCTCCAATCAGGAGCTTCCAGCACAGTGAAATAAAAAAATAAACAAATTTGCGTACTATACACATATATATAAGTCTATAATAAATTTTATTTACATGAAGGATATGCATATTGCACAATTGATTAGTAAAATATATGACTCTTTTTTTTAATATATGACTCTTTATTGCAAATTTCATACAGCCAGTTGATTCACACAGACTGCATACGTTGATTTTGCTGAACT